GGAGATTGAGCTGGGCATTCGAAGCAACACGCATACCTTGACTAGTCAGGAAGAGTTCGACGCCCTGACGAACAAGATTGTGAGCTGGCGGATGACATCATTGGACGGTTTGCATCGACAACTCAACTCATCAGCTGCGAACGATAATCGCAATGCATTTATCGCCAAGTCAACGGCGTCACTGACAAGCTGTCTTTACCAGTTTCTTTGCAACCCGCCACCACCTGGCGTGGACGGTAGCGCATCGATGATCGTGGAGCTTGCGGTGGGTATTGCAGCCAACCTTCCCCTGGAGAGTCGGGATGTGGCCATTACCTACCCGTTGCCCGGAGAGATCGTCCAGCCGCACGTAATGGAGGTTGAGAAGGCTGCTTTGCCAGTCTTGGAGGCTCAGAAGGGAGAGGGAGAGGACGACGACAAGAACGGCGACGATGAAAAGAGCGGCAAAGCTAAGACTGGTACGTTGAATAATGCAACCCCGCCCGAGAGCGGGGAGGGTAACGATGCTTCAAAGAGCACAAGGAAGGATGCTGACAAGGACACATTTGTAGCGGCCCTGCCGAAGGACTCGAACAGGGTGCGATTCGCAGGATTTATGGCGTTGGAAGTCCGAGGGAGACAAGTACTGATGAAGGCGCCTGTCTGGACTCTGTGAAGACAAGTACTTTGAGTATTGATAACTCTATTACGATGAAGCTCATGGAAATGAGCAATCAGCGCCACGTGTTGGCTGAAATGGCGAGGCGACAGTAGATATCCGGAGAGAATCAGGGCCTGAGAGTTGACCGAGGTTTTAAGGGGCTGTGGTAACATGACCCCAAGCAGGGCAAGATGGGACAGAGGATCACGAACGGCATGATGATGTTCTTTTTATTATTATGAGGGATACTGGATGCGGACCCTTATTTTGTTCTTTGTAAATACATGTTAGCATGAGACGAGCAGTTCATGATGTGACAAGGATTTCCTATTGGCATCTGACTGCATATACAAATTCAGTTTGGAGTCACGAAAAGGCTCCAAATCACGTAACGATTTGAGTATGGATGTATAATGAAGGTGCCTGACCCTGGATTAGGATGGATGATATAAGTTAATCACTTACCGTATTTGGACTTGATGCGAGATGAGTCGAACCTGGAAGGGTCCAAGCTGCCTGTTATGAAACTATCTAAAGACCTAACTTTAGTACCTAGGTACCTAGGGCTGAATTCTACGAGGCCCATAAGATCCTGGGGATAGGGCACCTAGCTTCTGGAAGAGGAGGCACTTGATAAACGGCCAAGGAGTCATGTCCTGTCAAACGAGTCATCCCACAGCAGCAAATATCTATATGCGGATACCTTGTGAATTTACTAAGCAGGATCCTTTTCGCCTTACCCGCCCAATCCATAGTGGCGAGGTTCCTTAGCAATTTGCTTCAAGTGAGTCATCAGGCTCATTACTGTTTTCAGACGTGCACTGAGAGCGACAACCTAAGTATGGAACTTTGAGTTGCTGACTGCCTGAGCTCCACTATCTGATCCAGAAACCGCATTACATAAATAACGGCGAGAGCTCCCCCCTCGCTTCCCCCCCCCCCCCCCCAAAAAAAAGAGAAGGGAGGGGCAAGAAAGCAAAACCAACCAGACGAAGAAAAAAAAAAACCTACGACGAGCATCCACTTTGCGATACCAACAATCTTCAACTACATCAAAACCCCCAAAATTCTAGACTCTATTACGACTTGCACGACCCAGACCACTACAGCAATCATGGCGGTCCGCGCTCAATTTGAGAACTCCAACGAGTACGTCATCTTTATTGTCTTTTCTTCTGGTGATTGAAGCTCCCTGCGCCTCAAGCACCCCGCCCCCGCCTTTCTTATGCGGCGCATATCTACCTCTGTGGATGATATGCCTTGTGCTGTACAATGTGTATGAGATTGAAATATCAGAACTGGATGCTGACATGAAATCTCCAGGGTCGGTGTCTTTTCCACCTTGACCAATTCTTACGCCCTCGTGGCTCTCGGTGCCAGTGAGAACTTCTACAGGTAGAGTCCCCTCACCTATCTTGACAACTAATTTCATGCTGACATCTTGCAGTGTCTTTGAAGCTGAACTCCAAGATATCATTCCTACTGTGCGAACCACAATCGCTGGCACCCGTATCATTGGCCGTATGACCGCTGGCAACCGAAAGGGTCTTCTCGTTCCCACAACCACAACCGACCAGGAGCTGCAGCACTTGAGAAATTCACTTCCCGATTCAGTCCGTATCCAGCGTATAGAGGAGCGCTTGTCAGCTCTCGGAAACGTCATCGTCACAAACGATCACATCGCTCTTGTGCACCCTGATTTGGAACGTGAAACAGAAGAGATTATCGCAGATGTCCTCGGCGTGGAAGTATTCCGTCAGACTGTCGCAGACAATGTCCTGGTGGGCAGCTACATGAGCTTGTCTAACCAGGGTGGCCTGGTGCATCCCAAGACTCCTATCCAAGATCAGGACGAATTGTCCAGCTTGCTTCAGGTTCCTCTCGTCGCCGGTAGTGTCAACCGTGGTTCTAACGTTGTTGGCGCTGGAATGGTCGTCAACGACTGGCTCGCCGTGACTGGTCTCGACACAACTGCAACGGAGCTCAGCGTTATCGAGAGTGTGTTCCGCCTCGGCGAGGGTCAAGGCCCCAGCAACATCAACACGAGCATGAAGGACACCATGGTCGAGTCTTTCTACTAAGTTAGGCCTGATTTGTGTTTCTGTTTCTCACATTCATACATACACACACATATTGCTTATGGGGCTTTGCTGTTACGTTACTCGTCCGGCAATTGATTGGACGAGCGATAACCATCGTCGCGCGACAAGACGAACAAACTTTTAACTTATACGGGGCCTGGTGTTTGGAAACTTGAATGATTTTGCGATGCGGTTGATATCAGGAATAAGGTATTCGTGATCATGATGATCGAATGATAAATACTCATACAGGGACGGCTCTCGGCCATCCCCCCCCAAGGTGGAAAAGGATTATGTGGTTCTATGGCCAGAGTAGGGATAGGCCTGCTCATCTACACGACCCATCTGATTTGATCTGTTTGGGTTGTGGGATCGCTGTTGCAGCAGGGTATACACATTGTTGCACATATTGCGTTCTAGAAGTACCTGACAACGGGTAGTTGAAGAGATCCATTACATCTCAAGAGTTTACGCCTCGCTAGAACCAATTTACAGTACCTCGTACAGACAACCCTATCAAGTTCATCAGTGACGCCTGTCTGCCTATATATTACTAGTCTTTGTATCCTCGAGGTAAGATATGAGCTTTATACTTAAGAAGTGTCTGCAAGAACTTCAGTTCTGGGTTCTGTGCCACTACTAAAACTATTCTGAGGGAATTCGTGACATGTTTGATGGATTTTGAACACCTCGACTCGGCTTGTATGAACATCAGGTACCTACTAACCTTAGTACCTAGGTAGGTACTAACCTACCACCTTGGCTACCTAGTACCTAGTAGGTACCTGAATCTATCATGGACATCTCATAATCTCTAAGTTTGAGCAGGTAGCTGCCTACCTACGTTAGCACATGAAGAATTACCCCTTTCACCGCCTGCTCCTTTCGGACTTTTCTTCGATAACCCCACCACAAAATATGCCATCATTGTCACCGTTAATGTCAATGGATCAAAAGACTCTGAATAGCTTCATTGCTCTCCAAGCCCGAAACCAGTCTTCCACAATGCCCTCAAATGGAAAGCCCCAGCACCTTGAGCCGTCAAAGCTTGGCACAAAACAATAGTACCCTCTCCCTTGGCCCGTCTCTCTCAAACTGCAGACTAACACTCTGCCCCAAACAGCTGGGATGACCTTTACACGAATGAGATAACAAACCATGCTGCTGATCCCTCCGACATAGGAACTGTTTGGTTTGACGATTCAGATGCTGAAGCAAAGATCCTCGAGTTCCTTGACGGTCTGATCGACCCCTCTGACCCAGACTCGCCTGTCCTCTCCCACGACACCACCACCTTCCTCGATCTTGGCTGCGGCAACGGTTCTCTTCTCTTCTCCCTCCGCCAAGAGAATTGGTCTGCACGAGCTCTTGGCGTGGACTACAGCCCACAAAGTATTGCACTAGCGCGACAAATTACCACCACAAAAGACGACCTTGAGAAGCCTGTCGAATTTGAAGAGTGGGATCTTATAGCTGGACCATACAGCCCTGTCCTCAACGGCGAGCAGATCGAGGGCTGGGATGTGGTGCTGGACAAGGGTACCTTCGATGCCATCTCTCTGAGCGACGAGAAAGATGCCCAAGGACGACGGCTATGTGAATGTTATCGAGAGCGAGTGCTACCCCTTGTTCGAAAGGGTGGCATCTTCTTGGTGACAAGCTGCAACTGGACCGAGACGGAGCTGAGAGGCTGGTTCGAAAAGACCAGCGAAGAAGGTTTCCAAGTCGTTGGCAGAGTTGAGTATCGTTCCTTCAGCTTTGGAGGCCACAAAGGCCAAACAATCAGTACGCTCTGCTTCCGCAGGGTATAAAAGACATAGTAGATGCAGTGTAGTTTGAAGAACAAAGAAAGATACCCATCATCACTCTGTGCTGCCTCCAGCACCTATTCTAAACAGTCAATATCATTCACCTCTGAGAGCTCTTATTGTATCATACAATGGTATTTGGACTCGTGTCAAAGCTTGGACTATCCCTCTTGGACTCCTCCCCATTTTCGTGACCCCAAAGCTTCATCTGAGCTCATCTCCTTACCCCTTCCAGAGGATCTGCGTCAAGCTTTTGTTTATTGCATCTTTTGCCGAACATTTCCCCTTTCTCATCCCGACTCAACTCAGCGCGGCAATGTCCGGCTCCAACTAGCAGCTTCTAATATGCAACATACGACTTCATAGGCTTCTGCCTGTCCTTCTCTCTTTCTGTAGTGATATGGACGGGACAAAACAAAAAGCAGACAAAATCTGTCTCGACAATGATTATTGCTTCATTACGTCTCTCATCTATGGCGATGTATTCATAGGCTCCCCGCCAGTAATGGGTCCCAAGATCTCGGCAGCTGCTGTCGTCGCAAAATATCGCACATCCACGTCGTCGTCCTTTTGCAACTTCTCCAGGTTAGGAACAACTCGTTGTTGGATCAGCTCCGAGCCCCGAGGCGACGGTGTGATCTCACTGCCCTGCTTCTCCAGATCATACAGGGTACCCTCGTCTGGCAGACGTCGAAGCACATTGATGAGAACGCGGTATGTCTTGGCCACGTTGAAACGGATGTTGGGGATATCGTCAGTGACCAGCTTGTCGAGCATAGGGAGGATCGACTTAGCAATCACATCCATGCTCACAACGCTCGCCAATGTCTGCAAAAGAGTCAGTTTGGGCTCACAGTTTCAGGCAAGGTGGGTAATCACCGAAATAGCGAAGCAGGTGGTCATCCTGTAAAGGTAGTTAGGGTGGTTACCCATAGCCATAACCTTGGGGATGATAGCCTCGCTGGCCCACTCAACACCAAAGACCTCAGTGAGCTTCTTCAGGTTGTGAGTAGCGGCTTCACGAATTGAGAAAACGGTATCTCCCAGCCAACCCATGCACAAATTGCTGAGCTTCTCATCGAAGAATTGAACGCCCAATTGACTGGCGAGGAGAGGGATGTACTCGATAATCGCAAGTCTTACTCGCCATTGCTTATCCTCGGCGAGTTGTACAATTGCGGGAAGAAGTGACTGTGAGAGGAGGTCGATACCGATGACTGCGTTTCGTGAGCTTCATATCATACACAATGAGGTTTGTGACTGACCTTGGTTCACGAGCTCAAGCTTGGAGATGATGTGGAGCCTAACCTCCGGGAACTCGTCCTTAAGCATCTGGAGGAACATAGGGAGAAGGTGATCGATAGTTCTAAGAGGGAAATTAGAATCGAGTCCCTGTTCGAAAAGACTGACTGACGTACTCTTGCTTTCCAAGGATAGGGGCCAAGCCACTGATCTGGGTACCAAGCGCAGCACGGACGTGTTGGGATGTATCCGAGACAAGATCCTCAATACTGCCCATGATGTCGTTGAGGAGCACGTTACGATCCACAAGAGCACAGAAGCCGGGAATCTGGCCAGCAATAGCGGTTCGTACCTCGGCTTCGTTGTCCTTGAGAAGTTTTACGAATGCGGGAACGAGGTCTCTAGAAACAACCTCCTCGTCTACCGCCTTAGCAATCTGTAAAAATTAGCATCAGCAAGGAAAATAAGAGGTGGCAGATGTTGCGAACCTTCTCGAACCGATCCGCGATCATGTATCGGACTCTCCAACTCTTGTCCTCTATCAAATTGCGTAGAGCTGTCAGCAACACACCATGGCTGGCCTGTTGCTCCTTGGGAACGGCTTCAGCAATAGAGATGAGAACCTCGACTGTGAGTAATCGGACGCTATCCTGATCATCTTGCGCGAGGTGTTGGAAGAGGGGTATCATTTCGTCGACAACGATGGTGGCGGGCATCTCCTTGACAAACTTGGCGAGATTGGTGGCAGCCTGGCGACGGACCATGGGTGTCTCATCGTGAACCAGCAGGCCGAACTGCTGGCGCAGCTGCTCTTGGACGGGCGGGGAGACTTTGTTGTACGGACTTGTGAAGAGGCCACAGCCCGAGACCTTTGATGTGAACCAATCGGCCTTGGCGAGGCGAATTGTGAGGGGAATGAAATATTCCTCGACTTGTTGAGAAGAAAGCTCGGTGCAAATCTTGTTCAGAGACTCGACGGCCTGCGTTGACAGTCAGTGTCAGGGGGGGCGATTAAAAGAACGGCGTGTTCGTTTACCTTGTCGCGAACGACGGGCTCCTCGATAGAAGCAAGGTTCTCGAGGGGAGACAGCAGAACGTGACCCCACTGGGAACCGCCGACATACTCGACAAAGCCGCCAAGCTCCTCGCTCAGGGCAACAAGGACCTCATCTTCATCCTCCACGGATTCTGCATAATATCAAGGTTAGGAGACGTCTTTATTTTTAAAGCGCATGTTGGTAAGCGGGAGAGCTAATCGAAGACTGACCATCGAGGAAGGGGATAAGCTCCTCGCGGGTTCGTTCAGCGCCGAGAGCGAGAGCAATAGTCGAGAGACGGTGGATGGCGTTGAGACGGAGCAAAACATCATCGTGCTGGAGAGGAATCGAGAGTCAGTAATGAACGTGTAATTGTTTGCTTCTTGGCGATGAGACAACCACGCAGGAAGGGGAAGCGTTGGGATGGAGCGTGGCGTCACCGCCAAACCTAGCATACCTTCAGCTCGTCAATAAGGACGGCGATAGGGTACAGCTCATCGCCAGAGTTGGGCGCGTCAGCCATGGCGAGCGGGGCGGTAAGATCGCAGGTTTATCAAGAAAATGAGTGGCAGCGTCCGAGATGAGTCGAGATGATCGTTAGGAGGGAGAGGAAGGTTGGCGGTTGCGAGTGGATCGCGTGTGGTAGTGGTGCTGTGCTGTGCTGTGCTGTGCTGGTGGGTGATGCAATGATTTGCGCTGAGGAGTCCCAACACACGATTTTTGGCCGAAAGACGAGAGCAACAGACGAGGTCACGCAGGCGCTAGGAGCTGTAAGAGACGCTCAGCGCAGAGAAAATGGGATCCTAAGGATGCAGAGTTAAAGGGCAAATCCGTGGCCTGAATCAGCAAGGTTGTCGAGGTTTGAGATGTGGACATGTGAATCGATAGATGAGGGAGGGAGAAGAGGGTGGATGTTTGTCTCTCGCTGGCTGAGGTGGTCAGTGGAGGTGGGTGAGGCTGGTGCTGGTACAGTATTGTTAGGTTAGTAGCTAGGCTGCTTCATTTCATTTCACTTCCATCACTTCACTTCGATGCTGCGTTGTTCAGCGACCGATGCCCTGCTAAGAACGCTGCCTTGGAGAGGGGCAACCGCCTAATGCCCCAGGTGAACAGCACAGACAGGGCCCGGGCAGCACTGGCTGGCTAGGCTTGGTAGCTCAGATGTGGCTGAGGTGGGGTCAAAGTGGCTCCTCATTTCCCTGAGAACATGGATTTTTGAGGGGCAAGCTCTTTTCAGTCTTGCCTTCAGGCAGGGCGCTTTAGGTACATTGTGGCTTGAATCTGGGAATGGCAATCATTATTACTCCGTCTTTGAAGCCAAGACTGTGTGAGACCAGAATCGAAATCGTCTTTACCAATGCCCGAGAGCGTACTGTACTTATGGTTCACGCGGGACGGGTATGAGCATAAAACCCAAACCTTTTGAGGATGCATCGGTTTTGTAGGATCGTATCCGACGTCACTATCATATCTGATCAAGCCTTGAAATCTTGAGCTCCTAGCCCCGTCACTCCCAGCTCAGTGCAGACATCATTATGCATTTATCTGATGTTTGGAATTAGGCTGTGCAAGTAGCTAATAACCCTGGCAAATTCACGATGCAACAATACATTGTTTCAGAGCTGTTCGAGCTCAGCATTATTGTTGGTTTGCCAACTTTCCTCGGGTTAGGTTGATGAGTGACATTCAGACAAGATGATCGTTCATAATTAGAGGTAAGATGTCTAGCGCAGTCTGATTTACCTACTAGATAAACTGCCAGCTGTTGTCATGTCAACTTACTGGCATAAGGCAATACTAATTCTATTAGGAACAGGAAGTTCAAGCAAGCTTCTCGGTACCTACCTGACGATGTTGCCGGGGATGGAGCATAGATGATCCGTCATTTTTACCCCGCCAAACCCAAACCATTAGAGTGGTACTGTCACAGCACACTATGGCCCTGCATCTTGTCAAGTACCCGAGTATCGCATCGTCGCATGCACCCAAAAATTCCTGTGACTCAGTACAATCTACGCCCAAATCCACGTCCGACGTCCGACGCTCGACGGAAGACTCACCTCTCGCCTCTGATTCTTCGGAAAAAGGATAATTTACTAAGCAAGGCTCGAGGCTCTGCTTCATCATGCCTACCATTTCCGTCGACAAGTACAAGCTTTACGAAGCCCTCGGTCAAAAGTGCGAATGCCCCTCCTCATTCATATCAACCCCCACCATGAGCTCTCCGACTTCGCGCCCAAGGTCTCTCTATACGTGTGCTGACAGCTCTTGTTCCTATTGAAACAGATTCACGACCGAGGAGTTTGAGGACCTTTGCTTCGAGTTCGGTATCGAGCTTGACGAGGATACTGAAAATGATGAGCGTCCAATTGTCAACGGCGAACAGGAGCCTCCTCAGCTCAAGATTGAGATTCCCGCCAACCGATATGATATGCTCTGCTTCGAGGGCATTGTCACCAATCTCAACATCTTCCGTGGACGTATTGAGCCCCCCAAGTACCGTTTAGTCGAGCCCGCAAGTGGCAAGCTTGAGTCAATCACCGTCAAGCCCGAAGCCGAGCAGGTCCGGCCATATGTCTCTGGCGCTATCCTCCGCAATATCAAGTTCGACAAGAGCCGATACGACTCCTTCATCTCTCTACAAGACAAACTTCACCAGAATCTTGCTCGAAACCGAACACTGGTCTCAATTGGTACCCACGACTATGATACGATTCAAGGTCCCTTCACCTACGAGGCTCTCCCCCCCAAGGATATAAAGTTCATCCCCTTGAACCAGACTAAGGAGATGGACTCTGCCGAGTTGATGAACTTCTATGAGAATGACAAGCACCTGGGCCGCTTCCTACACATCATTCGCGACTCACCAGTCTACCCCGCGATCTACGACTCAAACCGTGTTGTCTGTTCCCTTCCTCCAATTATCAACGGTGATCACTCCAAGATTTCACTCGACACCACCAACGTTTTCATTGAGATCACCGCCACCGACCTCACCAAACTCGACATTGTCACCGACATCATGGTTACCATGTTCTCCATGTACTGCTCTGAGCCTTTCACCGTCGAGCCCGTCCAGATCAATTCTGACCATAACAACCAAACCCGAGTCACTCCCAACCTGAAGCCCAGAGTTGCTGAGGTTGAAATCGACTACCTCAACAGCTGCACCGGGCTCAGTGAGTCTCCCAAGAGCCTGTGCAAGCTTCTCTCCAAGATGTCTTACACCTCTACGCCATCAACAAGAGATTCCAACATCCTCGAGGTTGCTATCCCCCCAACCCGAGCTGACGTCCTGCATCAATGTGACGTGATGGAAGATCTTGCCGTGTGCTACGGATACAACAACCTTCCTCGTACTGCTCCTTCGCGAAGTGCTACGGTTGGCGCCCCCCTGCTGGTCAACAAGCTCAGTGATATTATCCGAATCGAGGCCGCCGTTGCTGGCTGGAGTGAGGTTATGCCCCTGATCTTGTGTAGTCATGATGAGAACTTCGCTTGGCTAAACCGCAAGGATGACGGAAACACCGTCGTACGTCTGGCCAACCCCAAGACCGCTGAGTATCAGGTTGTACGATCAACTCTTCTACCTGGTCTTCTCAAGACCATTCGCGAGAACAAGGGTCACAGCGTGCCAATGAAGATCTTCGAGGTCTCTGACGTTGTATTCAAGGATGAGTCTCAGGAACGCAAGGCTCGCAACGAGCGACATTTCGCCGCCGCCTGGTATGGCCGAACAAGTGGTTTCGAGGTGGTCCATGGCCTGCTTGATCGTGTTCTTCTCATGCTTCGAACTGCTTTCCTCACCCACGAGGAGGGTCTTTCTGGCAAGAGTGTCGATTTTGAGGTAAAGGAGAACCCCGGCAAGCCTGATGGTTACTGGATCCAGGAGCTTGACGATGCCACTTTCTTTGCTGGCCATGCTGCTTCCGTATACCTGCGTCTTGGTGGAAAAGAGAGACGCATCGGCGAGTTCGGCATCTTGCACCCTACCGTGTTGGAGAAGTTTGATTTGAAGTCAGCCCCCATGCCGACCAGTATCGACGTGACATCGCTAACATATTCATAGATACCCTGTCAGCACTCTCGAAATCAATCTCGAGGTCTTCCTGTAATGTCAAAGAATTTAAAGAAAACCTACAGCACGAGGGTTGGAGCAGCAAAAAAGGGTTACGGATGCAACGAAATCATGTGAATATGATTCAATGTGAACAGACACGCTTCCATAACTAAGATGACTTTTCAAGATAGACAAAAATAAAGAAGAAACCAAACAAGGCTGGGTGTTGAACTTATGAAAAGGGTTTGATTCACTATACTCTATAACTACCTACCTAATTCACGTAGTCGGAAGGAGTCTATTGCTGTCTAAGCCCTCGCCGTGTACCGCGTGATTGGCGCAAAATCAGAATGTCATCACCACTCAAGTTAAACGCCCATGCCGGCTCATGATATGCCTCTAACGCCAACAAAAACGTCCGCATATGTAACCAGGAAACCAAGTTTGACAACTCGGACATCATGAACCCGAATGCTCTGCTTAAATCTCGGAATTTGCCATCGCACGCCTCTGCCCATCAGATTTGGAGAGGACTCTCTCGAGCTTTGCCACAGGTTTTGGCATTTCAGTAGTTGGAGAGTGACACGGCGTCGGCAGGCCCGCATCGGGCTGGAGGCCATCAATAGAGTCAAGTCTTGAGCGAAGGCCCAAAGACTCAGAATCGCGCCGCTTGATATACTCCCATTCTCCACTGAGATCGCTGGGTACACTGTAGAAGCTGCAGCGCTCAAGCGCTGACGGTGCGTCAGACTCTGTTGTCAGAAGCGGCGGTGCTATGGGAGGGTGTAGCCAGGGACAACAGTGCCGCACGGATTCATGGGTCTCGACAATCAAGTAAGGGCCAGGATCCGACTCTGGAAACATGACCTTCTATGTCATCTCACGTAGCTCCTGGTCGCTACGAGCTGGTGCGGGGGCTGAACTTGACGATGATGCTGACTCGCCAGTATTTGTAAGTTGCCCCAGCATTCCCTTGCCTAGATTGAGACCTGCAATCCCGTCTCTGATAGCGGCAAAGGCGTTACCGCTTGGTTCGGTAGATGCGCTCCGTTCGATTGGTGCATGTCGCGACTCAGGGGTGAGTGTCTCGTGGGCAGTCTCAACTCCCGTGAGAACCGAGGGTGGCCCCGACTTGGAGCTTGAACTGGATGACCGCGGATCGGCATCTGCTTGGATAACGCTAGGATACTGTAAATTTGATATGGCGGTTTGGCGGTCAGTCTCTGCTGCTGCAGCGGCGTTTAAACCGCCGTTCATCTCATCCTCGGTTCTCCCGAACAACTGATGCCACCATCTTATCTCCTTCAGTCGCGGTAATAGGATCCGCTCCTGTCCTTTAATGTGGTCGTCGATACTGGCATCGAAATCGGGGTTTTTGAACTCAGCTTGCCGACACAGAAAGTAGTCCCAAACGGAAGACGTCCGCTCTGCAGCCCGCGCATCTTTTCTCTGCTTCTCTGAAT